GAAAGCCAGAAGAATGCAATATCATAGAAACCAACAATGGAAAAGTTTTAATTAAAAAAAAAAAAGCCATAGCCAACAATGTTGAATGTTATAATGAGTTCCAGGAGAATTACAGAAAAATGATCATTGGATCTGGTGTGGCAAATTGTTGATTTTTAAGAAAGTTGTTTTTGAAGAGGTCAAGCATTTTACAGGGTTAATGAGTAAGTTAGGGAGCAGTACAGAGGAAAGAGCCCTTGACTGGGAACCACAGAACCTGAGTTCCAGCTTGGTCCCGCTGTTAGGTAGCCATACGACTTATTAACCCCTCTTAAGCTATTTCCTAGTCTTCAAAATTCTATAAAATCTCTTCTCTCACTTTCAAAGATTCAAGCAAGCTAACTGTGTGCCTAAACTATATGGAGATAGTAAGCTACCAATTGGATACAGGTCAATTTCACTACTTGTGAAACTTGTTTTCACAAGTGCAAGGCACTTTCCAAGTGTTTCCTAATATAGAATAATTCAGACTATATTCTTCCAAGTATTTTCTCCACTCAAACCTTCCTCCACCCTCCTCCCACCCCTAATCTACTAGTCTTTACTTTTAAAAATGGAGCAAAGATAGTATTCCTAGTTTATCCAGCAACTTGTTCTATTGCTTGAAATCAGAGAGTGCACCAAAAGCCTTTTTTGTTCATTGAAATCTGTTGGGTAGCATTATCAATCAATCCCCAAATCATGGCTTTCCAGCCACATGTGATCATATACTCGTACAGGAACACTGTCTGAAACTCAATGTCTCCTATCACATACTCCCCAAATTAAACCAGAAATATGTTATTCAAGAAGAACCCAGATGCACTGAAGAAAGAACATTTGCTTTATTTGGGGGCCTTAAATCTATTGGGATCCCATAGCAATACAAACTCAGAGTCACTGAAATGTTAAAGACTACAAATCTTTTAGTTGGGTTCAGGCACATGGTCTAGTGATATGTTAGTGTAGGTGTGAAATAGTTTGGCTGAATCCTATAATTAAGCACAATGCCTTATTTTAACACGCACACAACATGCACACACACATACACACACACTAGGATAGGATAACTTTCTCTGAGACACCAGTAAATTTTCCTGAAGTTCTCAACCCTTGCCTTTCCTCCAAAGAGGTTTGCCTGTTCTTTCTCAAGAATTCTTGCTTTCATTTAATTCCAAATGGATATTGTAGAAAATAAAGGAAGAATTTAAACTTTGTTTCTGAAAGAACTTATATAATTCAGCTCTGAATTCAGTGGAGAAAAGGAGAAGAAAAGGACAATTATCATCTATTGTGCACCTACTATATGCCAAACATGTTCACATACATTATCTCACTAAGCCTGACAATAATACTTTGTAGTAAATTTAGCTTTGGTGTTAGAGGTAAGAAAAATGAGGCTCAGAGAGGTTAAGCTATCCTCTCAAGGTCAAATGGCAAGTTATAAAACTAGGATTGAAACAAGAGCTGAAACAAGACTCCAAAGCTCAAGCATTTTCTACTCTACATGCAGTTAGTTCAGTCTAGTGAAAAATTCGCTCTCGAAAAGGTCTTAGCATTTTAGGTATAAAAGAGTATTTGGTACAATTCACTAGAGCCTACAAATTCTGTTGTATCTGCACTGAATCCTACAAAAAAGAGAAAAAAAGAAAAACAAACAAACAAAAACACCCCAAAAACATCACACACTCTTAGCTCCTCTCCCAATTGAAATTCAGCAGTGAGGACAGTTACTGAGTCATGTTCACAGAAAGCTGTCCTTGGATTCTGTTATTGAGCTCACACCCCCATTCTTGACTTCCCAAGTGGCACTGAGAAAGAGAGGAGGAAATGTAAGAAAGTATAAGATGGGATCCTCTGACACCATGGTGGAAATTAGCACATTTCCCAGAAGACCAAGATAAAAAATGCATGTGAGAAGAACAAGGGAACCAAACAGATGGGGCAATAAAATGGAGGCGGAATGAGCTCATCAGGATTTCCAGCACAAGGCTGAAGTCCATACTGGGCTCTCAGCTGACCTGGGAGCCAGGAGACATAGTGAATGAGTGGGTGGTTACTATGCTGCAGCATCAGTTACGCTAAGAGATTAGGTGGAGCTGATTCACTGCAGCAGATCTGCACGACTTTTCAAGTGGAGGAAAATCTGTGGGCCCTGGTCTCTGCCACTCACATAACCATCCTTATGGACAGCATGAGTCAGATATGCAGGATCCTTCAGGTAGACAATGTGGTTGTGCTGTGAGTAAACCAAGGACAAGCTTTCATGTCGTCGAGACCAGGTTTCAACCACAGCTACAGCATATCTTTGTGTGAAGGTTTACCTGCTGTATACACAAATACCCCACCTTCCCAAACTCATCATTGGCTACAGGTAGTTCATAACACAAACAGAAAGGTCAAGCCTCTGGAATGTTCATCACACTGAACAGTGATTCTTTTTCAAACTATCAGCTCTTGAGCATAGCCAGAAGGGTCTCTGGAGAATCTAGTCTAACCCCCTTATGTTACACACAGGAAACTGAGGTCCAGGAAAGAGAAATGACTCGCCCCAAACCACTTAGCTAGTGACAGAGTTGGCATTAGGACTCGGTCCCTCTCTTTCTAAGCCAGCAGACTTTCCCACTGCACCAGGAAAACAAAATCAAACCCTAAATAGCCTATAATACCCTTGTGAGCTAAGCCCTCTAATTACACTGCCTCCAAAGGAAATAACATCTTAAATGCCTCCGTCTCTCCATCTTTGGCAATTTCACCGACCATTTCTCATACTGCAATCTCTTTTGAGAAATTTAAGAGTAATTATTTTGGGATATATGCTTTGTTATTTTTATGTCTCCTTATACACTGCTTTCTTTGTTCAGGAGAAAATTAGAATTCTGGAAATACACTTGATTTTTTTTTTTCCTTAGGGTTTTTTTTTATTATTCTTATGTTAATCCCCATACGTTACAATACACTTGATTTTATTTAATTATTAAAGGAACAAGCATCTATTTCAAGTAGTTGCAAATACAAATGTATCAGCCTGTGTCTAGAATGGATATATGGAACAATATAGGCTATGTTACTCTATTTTCACGTTCAATTAAGATCCACCTAGGTCTCAGTAAAAAAAACAAAAACAAAAACAAAACAAAACAAAAACCATCAGACCTATGAGTGAAAGTTGAAAAGTGAAATCCTTATCCGGGTAATTCTGGACATGTTTGGATTTGGTGCCTTACGGAATCACCTAAAATGATATTTTATAACATGCTTTGCAACCTTACTGCCTTCATCATTGCAATTTGTGTATATAGGGGCTCACTGGAACTTTTGGAGTTTTCAAGGAGCTCAAGTAAGGATGTAGGAGGAATGAGCCTGTTCAAGGTCATATTTACTTTGTGAAGCGGACACACCTCCTGGTGATGCGGGCCAACAGTGGCATTAGCCCATTACCCACTTCCCTCCATCCCCACCCCGTATCTTTCCTACCAACGAATACTCTTACCTGAACCACTTCCACTGTCCTCTGCTTTAGGTGTCGTATAGACCAGGTTTTCTGTCTCTGATGTTTCTCCATGAAGAGATTTTCACGAATAGAACTTTTCTTGTAATTTAGTTACATTGTCCTTGAAAACCCCACAAGTATTTACATAACAGAACCTATTGTTTTAAGTGCAAAGCAGGTCAAAATTTGGTTTCCGGCGATTAATCACTGCAGTCTATTTTATATTATCGTAATAATTTCATTTATTTTGATACAATTTGTTTTCAGAGTCAACCTCAGCTTCTGTGCACAAGCGACAAATCCATTTGTTTCTCGTATAATGAATGGATAATGTGATTAATGACCCTGCCACAGGATTTCTTAAAAACACAGAGAGAAAATAAAGTTTCCATTTACTATGTGCAGTAACCAGCTCGGTCTGTAGCTGTGCATCAAAATCCCTCTGAACTTGTTGGCAAGCCACAGCCAAGATTCTGAAACAAATTTGCTCCCGCCTTTTGGGGTTTCTGTCCATATCTGGGCTCTCCAAGGACGTGAGGACAGCGGCCTCACACTGGGAAACTGGACCTGGGGGCAGCGGCTTACGAGTGTGGGGCCCGGCTTTACTACGCGGTACCATCGCGATGGCTGCACTCCGATGGACCCACGGAGCCCAGGTCTTGCTGAGTAAGGCCACCACCTGCTGGGCTGTCGCCGGCCCCAGCACGGGAGAGCTCCGCGGTGGCCTCGTGACGCCGGCCCCCGCGCCGTGGCCCCGGGGGGGCGATGTGCGGGCGCCCCCTCCGCGCAGTCGGCGTCTGGCGCGCGTTTCCGGTCCGCGAGGACCTGAGAAGTCTTCCCACGGCGGCGGGTGGCGGCGGGGGCCGGGGAGGTGCACGTGCACGCGGCGGGCGGCCCGGGGGCGGCCGTCGTGCGTCTCCTTCCCGCTTTCAGGGCGAGGCGGCCGCGGCCCGGACGAGGAGGCCCGCGCTGTCCGCGGGGGGGCTCTCGACGGCAGCCCGGGGTTCGAGTTCCTCCTGGGGCTCCTGCTCACTTTCCTCACTTGGGAAGTGGGGGTCCCTCCCCACGGGGGCGGCGGTGGCCGCGGAGCGAGGCGTCGCGCCGACCCGGAGGCTCAGAAGCCGCCCCGGGAAAGCCGCCGGCTTCTCTTCAGCCCGCGACGCCCGCGTCTTCGGGTGGGTCGGGGGCGCCTGGATACGCCAGCCAACGCTCGCGAAGGCAACCGGGCGGCCTTTTTTTTCTTTCTTTCTTCTTTTTCTTTTCCTCCTTTTCCTTTTTTTTATTTTTTACCTCAGTCCTCCTTTTCTGGGGGCCCCACAACCCCGCGCTAGCGCCCCCGACTCGGGCCCACACGCGCGCCCGCCCGCCGGGAGAAGGCGCCCCCGCCCCGCCCCCTCGTGACGCGTGCCCAGCCGGGCCAATCAGAGCTCGCGGCGCTGCGCCCCACGCGCCGGCCCCCCCCGCTCAGCTTAAGAAAGGGCGCGCGGGCCGGGTCGGACCAGAGCGCTGCGCCGGGCGGAGACCGCGAGCTACGTGAGGCAGGCGGTTCCGTTAGCTCCCGCGTTCAAGCTGCCCTCGAGCGGGCGCCCGGCTGCAGCCCGCAGCGGAGGCGCGTCCGCCGCGCGCCCCGACGGCGCCCGCCCGCCCGCCTGCCCGCTGATGCTGGAGTGAGCGCTGCGGTGGCGGGATGCTGGCGCTGCTGGCCGCCGGCGTGGCGCTCGCCGTGGCCGCCGGCGCCCAAGACGGCCCGGCGCCCGGCAGCCGCTTCGTGTGCACGGCGCTGCCCCCGGAAGCGGCGCGCGCCGGCTGCCCGTTGCCCGCGATGCCCATGCAGGGCGGCGCGCTGAGCCCCGAGGAGGAGCTGCGGGCCGCGGTGCTGCAGCTGCGCGAGACCGTCGTGCAGCAGAAGGAGACGCTGGGCGCGCAGCGCGAGGCCATCCGTGAGCTCACGGGCAAGCTGGCGCGCTGCGAGGGGTTGGCGGGCGGCAAGGCGCAGGGCCCGGCAGCTACGGGCAAGGACACTATGGGCGATCTGCCCCGGGACCCCGGCCACGTCGTGGAGCAGCTCAGCCGCTCGCTGCAGACCCTCAAGGACCGCCTGGAGAGCCTCGAGGTAGCCGAGCGCGGCGGGTTCTGGGGGGCGCGGGGTGGTGGTGGTGGGGCGCGTGGTCCTGCCCGCCAGGCTGTGCGGGACGCAGCGAGCTGGGCTTGGGGTCGGGGGGGTTGCTTCTCGGTCGGGCTCGCGAACTTACTTGCGGGGCTTTCATCCCGCCCCCCCCACCCCGCTTCTTGCTGGAAGGAAAGGGTTAACTCCCCCCGCGCGCGGGGACTGTCCGCCGAGTGGCCAGTCACTAACCGAGGTCCGGGTGAGCGGACCGGGACGGCCTCTTCTTTCTTGTAAATGTCCGAGTCTCCCGGGGCCGGACGCGCTCCCAGAGGCTGTGCCGGGTGACGTGCGGCTGCCGCGTGCGGTCGGCTGCCCCGGCTGCCCCGTGTTTCCTTTTATAAATGAGGTCGGGCTGGACCAGAGCGGGCGGCGACCCCAGGGTCTCGGCGGGGAGGCGAGCGCGGGCGGGTCCCGGGCCACACACCGGTTGGCGCCTCGGAGGGAAGCTGGTTTTAACTTCAAAGACGCTCTGTCCGCGAATTGCGCCGGGTCTAAGGCGCCCTTCCAGGCTGCTCTGGGGGAAGGGACCTTATTCCGTTTCTCTCTTGGGAGTGTGTATGCAGTTTGGAACTTGGCAAGAGAAATCCTCATTTAACTTCCATCTTTACTTTCGAACCCTGTTTAGGAAGTGTGGACGTTTCTGTTAAAGACGTTTACCAAAATGCTTATTAACAAAACTAGGTTTCAATTACGGGTGGTAATTACTGAAAAATTATTTGAGGATTTCCTGTGGCATGATAGCTAAATACAGTATTTCCAGCATCTGTATATCCCTTGATTCATTCTGATTAATAGCAGCTAACATTTCTGGTTTACTAAATATACACCAGTTTTAACCCTTGCAACAGTCCTTTGAGGCAGATCCTCGTAACTGCATTTTACAATTTGGAGTGCTTAGAAAGGGGGTAAATAGCTTGCCAAGGATTCATGGCTAGCCAGTGGCAGACTTCCTCCAGAGCCAGCATGATGGTAGAGGAGTAAGAGACATAGGAAGTGAGGATTTAGAAACAGCACTCAAAGCAAAGATTCCTGGAATTCAGAACTGTCATGTTTTAGGTCTCTCATTTTCCAGTAACATCTCTGCAAGCATAGTTATTCACCTTTGTGCCATATCGGGACTTGGGGGCTGTTTTCACTTATAGATGAAAGCTCATTTGCTTTGAGTACCATTTGGTTAACTTTTTTTTTTTTTTTTTAATTTCACTGTGTTGTGGCCTTTACCCAAGGATGGTAGATAGTGATTAAAATTTTGACTTTTTAGCAAGAGGAGGAAAATAGCTTTCTGAGAGAGGAAAATGAAATTTGTAAGTTTCAAATATTGCAGCAAGGTAATTCTTGTTTGACTTTGAAATCCTTTCCATACAAAAAAGAAAAAAGCATCCGTGAAGTGCTCCCCTTTGTGCCATTGGCACGATTTAATACTCCCGTTTTGGAAGCTTCTCCCTGTGTGGTTGGGCTTTTAGAGCTACATTTCACAATTGCTTTTTAAATGACCTTAATACTTCTCCCTCATGTGTCCCTCTCCCCATCTAAAAGCACCAGCTCCGAGTGAACGTGTCCAACGCAGTGCTGCCCAGCGACTTTCGAGAGGTGCTCCAGCAGCGACTGGGGGAGCTGGAGAGGCAGCTACTGAGCAAAGTGGCAGAGCTGGAGGATGAGAAGTCCCTGCTCCACAATGAGACCTCGGCTCACCGGCAGAAGACCGAGACTGCCCTGAACGCTCTGCTGCAGAGGGTGACTGAGCTGGAGCGAGGTGAGTTCTTGGCTAGCTTCTCTGTCGCCCTCTGGCTGACATCCCTCTCAGCCCCCCCACCCACCCCATTGTCCTAGTGTTTGGCTGCAGTGTAAGGGAAGCTGGGCTCAGAGCAGGCAGAGGGGGGCTGGCCCACAGCCACCCACTTACATACAGGCAATCACTAGGGCCCTTGAGGGAGTGGTGACCTCTGCTTGCTGACTCTCAGCACTGGCCTCTGCTCCTGTTTGCTGGGATAGGCTCTGAGGCTGCTCTTGGGTCATCTCCGAACCTACCTGTCCTATGTGCAGAAAACCATAGCACTCTTTACCAATCCCCAGCTCTCCGCTTTCCCTTCTCTGTTTCTCAAATGAAGTGTTGCTCTTTCAACTTAAGGCATCTCTCATGGTGCACAGGGGTTTAGGGTTTCTGCCTGACAGTTGCCCAACTTAACGGCCTTGTTGATACATTTTCCGACCTAGTGGAGACAGAAGGGGCCGATTGCTGCTGGGAGCAGCCTGGTTTCCATCCCTTGCAGATACCCCCCGGGGTGTCTGCAGTGCCTGACCCTGCATGGAGATAGCTCGTGGCTGTTTGAGCAAATAAGCGTGATTGAGGATGGTTGTCTCAGGAATTAGCCCCAACCCCAGCCCCGTGGCGTTATCCATGGGAAAGCCAGTGCCCTCAGGACCAGCTTGGACAAACCACCTAACCCCGTCCTTCTGCCATGTGGGCATTTCAGCCACTTCTTAACTCATCCTTCGGTGGATTCTGAGTATCTTTCTCTTCTCGGCTCACACTGTGGTGGGTAAGTTTCTCCCATGGGGCACAGGAAGGGAAGGGATCTAGGGCCCTAAGTGATTGAGGCCCACACTGCCAGGGGGCCTGAGAGTGAAGTTTAAGTTTGCCGATAGTGGAGATGAGATTGTAATCTTCTGAAATGCACCAGCCTGACAAAGACAGTTTCTCCTTACTCCATTTCATGAACTGATAGGAGTACATCCAGTTATGCCTTTAGTGACACCTGTGGGGGCGGGCCAGATGATCAAGGGGATGGTGTCTCTGTTCCATTTTACAGCACCTCCCCAGAAGTCACAGGTCTCCTTCATCACTCTCTGTTTTCTTCCTTATCCTTCTCTGTAAGGGGTGGGTGACTTACCCGTTAGACTTGGATTCTGGAGTTTCTGAAAGAATGTCCTCTGCCTCACCTCTGCTGGGTGACCTCAGGAAGCTCCTTAGGTCTCAAGAGCCTTCCCTGAAGGCAGAGCAGCTGCAGCCTTTCTTGCGGATAGGAGGACAGAAAGGCAGCATTAGGTCCAAGGTGAAGGTGGCTTGCCTTCCCTTTCCCCAGCCTCACCCACAGTGGAACCTTGGGACACCACAGTCACTTAGTATCTCGAAGGGGGTAGCTGTAGCACGAAAAGAGAGCTCCACCAGAGACCTTGGTGGCTGAGTCTTGCTTGGCTCGGTGGCTGAATTGCTATAAGGATGTAGGTTAATAGAAGCCTGTTGGGTTAGTGTGTGCTGAGCCCATCACCCCTGTGAGATAGGACTTCTCTTATACCCATTACACAGATGAGAAAGGTGCCCTGAAGCTTTCGGCCAGAGGTATGTCATTTGGGGAGAGGGGACTGAGGTGGGATCTGGGCCACCAGCTGGTGAGCAGCAACAACATGGCTTTGACCGCCCAGGAGCTGCCACTTTGTGACTGTCCCTCGCATCCCCAGCCTGATTCCAGCACCCACGCTCTTGATACCTAGGTTTTACAGGAAGCCCTCAGAGCTCATCTGGCACAGAAAGGTGGTGTCCATGTCCTAGTTAGCACTGTGTTCCGCAGGGCAGGGGCCCCTGACTGGCCTTCTTGTAGAGCCCCCAGGACCTGGTACTGACCCATCAGGAGAACTCTAGAATCCTTCTCTGTGCTCCACCCAGCTCTGGTATGAGTCTTGGAGGAAAATGATCGTTTGCCAGTTTGTCTTCCGGCTAATTCTGAGTTTCTATCTGTCCTATTTGTGATAAGAATAAAGGGATATATAAACTCCCAGCCCCCAAGTAGACCATGAGTGGAAAATATACTCTGTTTCTCAAAACATCCTGTTGAGCCTGGAGGAAATGGACCTCAAGCATACACAAAGTAGGGGGCTTTGGGGACTCTGGCCCTCAGTCCATCATCTCCTGCCCGTTATGGGCCTGTTCTGGGCCAAACACCAGGCTATGACTTCCACATTCTGTGTCTTCTGTAACCCTTGCAACAACTGTGTGAGGTAGGCATTAGTTATAGATGAGGGACTGACTGAGTCTGAGAGCTAAGTGCATTCACGGGTCCAGCAGGTTGCAGAGCTGGGGTTGAACTTGGTGGTGACCCCAGAGGACAAGAGCCTGGAGCAGTGTGTGGGCTCCAGCCCCACTGAGCAGGAGGCTCCCCAGAGCCCAGGGGTGAGCATCCAACGCTGCATGCACATGCTCGTGCTGCCTGATCCCACGGATGCTTGTTTTCTCTGTCGTGGGATCTGCTCGTCTGCAGGGGCCTCTAGGTTCTGGGCCAGCCGGCCAGGCACAGCCCACCTTGGAGGTGCCACTGAGAAGACAGAGCCCATCTCTCCTTGGCCCCAGCTGCCCCCCATTTTCACTTGTCTGCCACCTGCAGCCTCTGATTTATTGGTCAGGCCTTTTAATGCCTTAATTGGTTTCAGTGAAGTTTCCTCTAAACCTCCAAGCTGTTTGATATAAATAGAGGGCACCAGCTTTTGGGGTGTGGGCCCCTCCTCTGCCCTTTGGCTCTCCCAGGTCTAATTAAACCTATCTGTTGTCACCTAGCTAATGATATTACCGACACCGAGCCTTATTAAATCAGTAGGCCTGCCCACCTGCAAGGATAGAAGCCATTTCTCTTTATTAGCTAATCATGCCTTGTGAAGAACACGGCCATTTGCAGATTAAGGACTAGTGGCTGCACGTAGTTGAGCGAGGGACTTCCGCTCCCTGCTCTGTCCTTCATTAGCTGTGTGACCTGGGGGAAGTCCCCTCGCTCCTCCAAGACTCAGTGCCTCAACTGCACAACCCGCAGAATCGGGAGGTGGGGCTTCCTAACCTCAGTTTTGCTTCAGCCTAACGCAGGCTCAGTCCCAGCCTGTACCCGGCCTGGCCCCCCTCGGCTTCCCCGGGTGACCAAGTCTTCCCAACCCTCGCCGGGTACTCAGCGGCTCCGCAGACCGGGAGCTCGGGATGGACTGGGCAAGACTGCACAAGCCGCAGATTCAAGTAAATAGTACCTGTGAAGCCCAGAGGCTAGTCTTTCTCTGCTGCCTGGTCCAGACAGGTCGAAAGGGTGATGCTGGGCCCTGTTGCTTTTCTTTGCAGGTCTTCCATGGGTGGGGGTGAACCATGGCCCCAAAGAGCTTCTCTCACGTGTTATTTTCTATGAAAGCAAAGGAGTTTGGGAGATTGCAGGGGAGAAAGGCTCATCTGTTCTGACTTCTGTTCTGTAGAAGGGGCTGATTCATGCACTCGAGACCCAGGCAGTTTGGCTCCATTGGTTCTGGGTCCAGAGAGCCTGCCTGTTTTTCACGGTGACCGAGTCCATCTGGCCCTTCGTGGATACCTAATAAATACTTGTTGAATGAGCGAAGGGTGTTTAGGCTCCTTCACCAGAAGCATCTAGTCCCCAAATAAGAGGAAAGTTTCTGCCATGACAGCTCACAGAATCGGGTGGGACCCTGCAAACTTCAGAATCTGTGATAACTCGAGACGGGGACTTGCTTTTTGTGTGTTTATTTTTATTGTTAATTTTGAGCTTAAATCAAAACTATTAGAAATTATTTAGACCCATTTAAGAGTACCAGTGGCTTTCAAAGATTTTGGAAGCACCATTTACATGAGGACAGTCGGGGTTCTCATCAGTGCCAGGCGGGCCCCAAGGGCTCAAGGCTCTGGCCAGGGCGTTAACCTCAGCGGGGAGGGACACCTCTGTATTTCTCTGCCTCTGACTGGCGCGAAACCACAGGAAATGGTCGACAGATGCAATCTTCTCTCTAGGAGGAAAGGGTGAATCATGAGCAAAGTGGTTCATGTGAGGGATTTAGTCCAAAAAGCCACTTCTGAGTTAAGCTGTCGTGTCCAGTCACTAATGTGGACTCCTTTGCTTGGGTGCAGGGATTCTGTAGGGTGAGAAGTGAGGGGCTTACTGGCTTGACGAGTGTCTATCGAGTGCCCAGGTCTCTGTTAGGACTTCCTGCCTCTAAGCCCAAGTCCAGCAGGGCCCTAACCCCGCCCTTGCTGAAGGAGCTGAAGAGGTCAGGATTTCAAGAAAAGAGCTGAAGAAGGGTTTTCTGGCTTAATTTAACCGGAAAATTAAATCCAGCTTGTCCCTACCCGCTTCCTCAAGCTTTCAAGAGCAAGGCCGCTCTTGTTTACTCCTGGGCTGGTAGCACTTTGCACCACGGCCTCCTGGTAGCGGGTGCTCTGTTGCTTGAAGGACCAACATGGGGGAAGTTGGGGTCCGGGTGAGCCGTGGCTGTGGGCTCTGCTGGCGGGGAGTAGGCTCACGCAGCGCCACCTCTCTTCTCCACCCCCCAGGCAACAGTGCGTTCAAGTCTCCCGATGCGTTCAAAGTGTCCCTCCCGCTCCGCACAAACTACCTGTATGGCAAGATCAAGAAGACACTGCCTGAACTCTACGCCTTCACCATCTGCCTGTGGCTGCGATCCAGCGCCTTGCCGGGCATCGGCACCCCGTTCTCTTACGCGGTACCCGGGCAGGCCAACGAGATCGTGCTGATAGAGTGGGGCAACAACCCCATCGAGCTGCTCATCAACGACAAGGTGAGGACTACTTGGACACCACCTGCCCCCATCACGGCAGCCGCGTCTGGCAGCCAGCCTCCTTGGCGGGCTCTCCTGCAGGGCTCTCCTCCTCGCAGTGGGGACAGCTCTGCACTGACTCAGCCCCGCTCTGGCCGCCTGTCTGGGGGGGGGGTCAGGGGGAGGCAGTCGTGGCTGGTGGAGATCCGAGCTGTGAGTCTGGCCTAGAAGGGGCACAGGCTCCAAGCCAGACGGTGTGGAAGGAACAGAGCTGGGGTCTCTGTGGGCCAGCCTGAATGGTCACAGGCCCTTGGGCCGATGAGTGAGGGCTGTTCCCCAGGGCCGTACTGATTAGGGGAGGTGGTATGTGTATGTCTCTCTGTGTAGGATATTTATCAGCCTATCCTTTGGGGGTGGTCTATTGAGATACAGTTTACAGTAAAACTTACAGTTTTCAGTCAACAGTCCCACCAGTTTTGACAAATGTCTGAGGTTGTGTGACTACCACAATTGAAATATGGAAATGTTTCATTTCTTCCCTCCTCCCTCCTCCCCTCCTTCCCCCACCAAATCCCCTTTGTGGTCCGCTCTTGCCCCTATGCCAGCCCATGACAACCACTGATCTGTTCTCTGTCCCTACAGTCTTGCTTTTTCCAGGGTAAATATCCCTTTTTAATACACTGGCTGGTTTCGACATTCAAGAGCGGATCTTCTCAAGAACTCCGCCCTGGGCATCTGCGGGACCTCCAGGAACCCCACTTAAACTTCCATTCTGAAGTCAGACTCAACATAGCCAAAGAATTGTGTCCTCACGTCCTTGCTGGAGCTGAGCGTTCGAGTGGCTGTTCCAGCTCCCTCTTGCCTCTGCCCTGACCCCTTACTCTGACGTTACTGAACCATCCTGGGGGGAGTTTGTTTAAGTGGCAAATGCTGTGGAATCTCCCCGCTGGGCTCCTTTTGGAGGTGACCATGTCCCTGAGCAGGGATTAATTGTTCTAAATAACGCCCTTGGACACAGCAGGGCCCAGAACCTTGTTTACCTCTTGGGTCAGGTGGCACGTAAACAGCCAATTCCTGGGAGGAAGCAGCGGGTTGCTAGGATACCAGCAGTAACAACAGGATGGTACCTGGTGGGCTGGTCTGTAGTGCTCACGGGACTACGGGCAGAACAACGTGGGTCAAAATGACTTTCCTCCGTTTCCATATGGGGGGGTCCCTGTCTGCACCCCCCAGCACACACTCCCACATAATTGTAGGCCTTTGGTCTTCTGCACAGGAGTACACACACACACACGAGTCCCCAAGTGCCATGATAGAATTTGAGCCCCTGCCTAGAGTGTAGATGCCTGGTCTGACTATTTTCCAAAGAAGCTGGCCCAGTAGAACCCTGACTTCCCTTCAGGCTCTCCGGCATGAGGCATTCAGGTCCAGGCATGGCAGGGAGGGGGCTTGTCCTTCACTTCACATCTTCTCAGTCTGCACAGCATCCTGGACCCTCAGCCAAACCTGGGACCAAGGGTATCCCCTTGAAAGCCGGGCCACCCTGGGGTTAGGGGCTTGTACCCAGGCTGCCTGCCCCTTTCCTCTTGGCTGTCTGTGTCACACAGTGTCTCCCCCCACCCCAGGCGTTCTGAGGGGCAGAGTTGCCCATGTTACCCACAGTGCAGAGAAGGGGAGATGAGCCGGGACCCTGCATGATGGGAGCAGCAGGACCTCCAGTCCTTCTGCAGGTCAGACTTCTGGAAACCCTGCGGGGACCCTCACCTGCATGTTGCTGTCCACAGGTTGCCCAACTGCCCCTGTTTGTCAGTGACGGCAAGTGGCACCATATCTGTATCACTTGGACGACGCGGGATGGCATGTGGGAAGCTTTCCAGGATGGGGAGAAACTCGGCACTGGGGAAAACCTGGCCCCCTGGCACCCCATCAAGCCAGGGGGTGTGCTGATCCTTGGGCAGGAACAGGTGAGTGCAGGGGGTGCAAGAGGGGAGCGCGCTGGCCAGCCGAGCAGCACAAGGCCACACTTGCAGGCTGCCCCTGGGGCCCCCGGGGCCCCTGGCCAGCTGTCTGCCCGCCAGACCTGGCCACTGAGGCCTGACAGCAAGCTCGCCCCACGCTGTCTTGTGGCCTGAGGGCCAGAGGGCGGTCGACCAAGTTGGTGTGATGGGTCAGATAGATTCCAGACTGGAGTCCAACACAGGTGATCAGGAGTGTCCCTGGGGTCATGTTATCAGGAAGGGACTTCGGGTTCTCTCCAGGTGTTTGGGCTCTGCCAGGCACAGCTTTGATTCAGGATGCCAAGGGCTGACATGGCCTCTTCCAGGAGCTGCTGGCTCAATGTTTTGGGGCACTTAGGGCATGCCTGTGGGGTGCTTAGCCTCCTGAGGGAGATGGGGGTGAGGAAGTGACTTCAGAAGCTGCCCTCAAGAAACTCACCCTCTGGGAGAGGGGAAATGTGAGTTGCTTGTCTGCTCCTGGGCTGATAAGAGCTGATGTTTCAGCCTATGTCTGAGGTTTGCTGACGGCCCATTCCTCCCCTCACTTCCCTGGGAGAGGCTGGGAGTCTGGAGACCTGGATCTAGTTCTAGCTTTGGGACTTTGGGCAGATGTCTTTCCACTCTAGTCTCGAGGTGGTTTCACGTGCCCTGGAGCTCCGGGATGTGCACGAATCAGGGGTCAGGGGGTGTGGCCAGAGTTGGAGGGAGTTGGGAAAATGGCCCAGTCTCCCCATCTCCCTCCCAAGCTGGCATCCCTTCCCGAAGGCCGTTCACGGTCCAGGAGAATTAGCGGGTGTGTCTGCTTTTTGAACCTGCGCCGATGTGGTTCTGCTCCCCCGCGCCTTCCCAGGACACCGTTGGGGGCAGGTTCGATGCCACGCAGGCATTCGTGGGGGAGCTCAGCCAGTTCAACATATGGGACCGCGTCCTTCGTGCGCAAGAAATTATCAACATTGCCAACTGCTCCACGAACATGCCCGGCAACATCGTACCCTGGGTGGACAACAACGTCGATGTGTTTGGAGGGGCTTCAAAGTGGCCCGTGGAGACCTGTGAGGAGCGTCTCCTTGACTTGTAGCTGCCTCCTGCTCTGTCTAGGAGGCCAGGGCTGGGCTGTTCCTGTCGGAAGTGCAAGGCCACCTCCTCCCCCAGCTAAACTGTGTAAAAGCCCCTGCCAGAATGGGCTGGGGCCCCCAAAGCTCATTCCCAGGGACTCTTGGAAGGCCGAGGCTCTGTAGCAGCCCTTGTCACTGGATTCTTTGTTCTTTACCAGTATTGTGTTGTTTTGAGGGGGGAAGAAGCCCTGAGCTTGCAGGTGGGCAAATCTGACTTCCGGCTGGGGACGGGGGGATTAAGGCCCTTGAGGCCCCGTGCAGAGCACACCGCAGCCTTGCCCACCCTCTTGGATCCTCGATGTCCCGTGTGCACCTTCTGTCTGTCCCCTTTAAAGGCTGTGCGGCCATCCTGCTGGAGTATCTGTGTCCCTTGTGTATTGAGTATACCCTGCTGTCCCCTGAGCACGCAGCAAAGCAGCCCCCGCCGCTCACAGAAGGGCCTTTCTCTTGGTGTTCTTTACTATGCTCTGAGGAACTCTTCAGCTCGACGAGGGGGGCAGGCTGCCCAGACCACACCCTGCCTTCTCCAAGATGGAGGGGGCATCCGGGCCTCCAGAGGGGGCTGGGAGCGGGACCGCAGAAGGGAGTTCTGGAGGAGGGCTGTGGCAGCTGAGCCTCCCCCTCTGTCACCTCTCCCTCCGATCGATGCTTTGATGGACTCGTCGCTGGGAATGGCTTCTTTGCAAAGCCTCCTTTCTCCACCGGTGCCAAAAGTTCAGTTGCAGCTTCTCCAACCATTTGGTATGGTCAGGGGGGATTTATTTTTTCCCAACAGAGAAGAACAGCCATTAGCAGCCTTCCATTTTTGATGTCTCGCCCCACTGTGAGGAATGTGCTAGTTTTAATCCATGTTGATTACTGTAAGCGTTTGACTGTCTCAAGTATTTCCCCCAGAACTTTTTCAGGAAATGGAAGTCATTTGGCTGATATTTGCTCAGTGACTCCAGGTTGCTTAATTTATTGGACAGAGGTAGTAACTTATTTTAAGGAGAGTGATGAAGTGGGGAAATTTATAAAGCTAAATATTATATATTTTATTTTTCATACATGTTTGAAGTGCAAATCTGTGGAAATTCCATTTGTAGGACCAAGTTGACATGCCCATCCTAACACTGTATGCTACAAGAACTCTTATGATGACGGAATTTTGATTAAAGTGCACTGGAAGACGCCTCCGTATCTGTTTGCTCCCTGTCTGGGGCTGAGGGTAGGGGGGTGGGGCTTTGCCACAGTCCATGAGTCTGGGGCCTGTGTCTGGCAGACCCAGGGGCACCGAAATGCTTGGAGGTAGGGGGGCAGTCTCCAGCCGGCCCCTGTCTTCTTAACTAGGACTCAAACTTACCTAGATGACACTCACCTCCTTGTCCCAGGCGTGACACCTGTTGGCCACCTACTCCGTGTTCTACCATACGTCTCCTTCACTCCTCCTAACAACCCCGTGAAAGTGAATCCCGATTTGCAGGTGAATGCATAGAACAATTAGACAGTGACTTGGATCACGTGACTAGTTAAGGGAAGAGCTGGGGTCAAGCCAGCCTATGGCTCTGGAGGCCCTGCCCTGTTGTGATTTCCCTCATGATCGTGATCGCATGGCTGACTGGGAGCCGTGGCTCACTGCCACTGCCCAGCATCCCCAGTGTCGTACCGCATATCACTCACCCAGGAAAAATCAAACTTCAAAACTCAAACTAGGTTCTACTGAATATGTGTTGCTTTCACACCACCACGAAGTCAAAAAATTGTAAGTCAAGCCACTGTAAGCCGGGGACCATCTGTATGCTAAAAACTACAGAACGTTATTATTTTTTCTTTTTCTTTTTTTATATCTAGAACATTATATAGAGAAAGAGGACCTAAATAAATGGAAATATATCTGTGTTCATAGATTAAGACTTAATAGTGTCAGGATTGCCATTGTGGACACATAGTGGGGAAAAATTCGGCTCAGATGTCCAGATGATAATACCACACACACTCAGAGGGTACAAAAAGGTTGATCATATAATGAGACTTTCTGGGGGAGATCAGGGTAGCACCCACACAGGTCTCAAAATGGCTTGAGAGGGCAGAGAAAGAAGACTGGCTTGGTTTTTTCTTTTTTTTTTTTTTAAAGATTTTATTTATTTGACAGAGACACAGAGAGGGAACACAAGCAGGGCGAGTGGAGAGGGAGAAGCAGGCTTCCCGCGGAGCAGGGAGCCCGATGCGGGGCTCGATCCCAGGACCCTGGGATCGTGACCTGAGCTGAAGGCAGACGCTTAACGACTGAGCCACCCAGGCGCCCCTGGCTTGGTTTTTTTATGGTGGTAAAGGGGGTAGGACCAGAGTGATGATTCCACCGTGTGGTTTGCACAACCCCTTTCCCCTCCCCCAGCCCCCGCTACTGAAGGAAAAAGAACTTAGACTCTCTTATTACTCGCCCAGATGTGGGGCATGCTGGGAAGACGAGAGGTGAGGCTTAAAAGCTGTCAGCAGTCAAACATCAAAAACTGTAGACCTCTTACTACAATTCACCCCAGATGTTTGACTAATGGCTGACATGTGCCATGTTGCATTTAATTGAATTTGAACTTGTTTAAGTCATTATGAGGTCTGTAGCTTAAGGTTGGTAGGGGAGGTGAGAATTCTGTTGAATGCCTGTTCAAGGGCCCAGAACTGTGTATTTCGAGAAGTGCGATGAGTATCTTGATCACTGTTAATAAGATCTGGAACTCTGAAGGAGAGGGGTATCTTGAGGTCTTGCATTGTGGCTTCAGTAAGTAGAGAGATACGTGTGATCTTGATTTATATTTTGGGTGTCTGTGAGACAAGAGATTCCCAGAGTTCTTTACCCCAAAAGGGGCAACCTGGCTCAAGAGTCAAAAAATGTACAAATGGGTCAATTGTAGGCCAGGGCGCCCCGTGCTAAGATGACTCTCTGAAGTTTGGCCAGTTGTGCTGACCCCTGGGTCCTGTTCTTCGGGGACATCCTGGTTAAGGGATAAAACACAGCAGCTCCCCCATGGAGCTCTAGCGGGTGTCATGGTGGTTATGCTATCTGTAAAGCATGAGAACTCCCTTTGCTGTTTATTCAGCTGATGGCAAGTGGCTTCGAGGAGTCCGAGAGAGGGGTGACCTTCAGCACCAAGGCATCTGGCAAGGGTCTGAGGACAGGAAAAGCCACCCCCTGCTGCAGATGGGATATGCCAGAGGGTCCAGGGTTAGCTCTATTATGTAGCAGAAAGGCCTTGGTGGCCATACTGAAATTATTGCTGGGATGTTGCTTTTGTGACCTACGACATAGAAACAGCTGGGTATGGGAGGTCTCAGGCCAGGGCTTAGGACAGCTACTATTTCCAGGATCTCATAGTATGCAACCAGCAATTGCAGGTCTAATGGCATATAGCGTGAGGCCAAGGAGTTTCTTGTGTCAGAAGCCCACGGGTAACTTAGGTGCTCCAGAGTCTCCAGGAGGCATGAGAGGGCGTTGCTGAGGCCTCTGTAGTGAAGGACCCTCTGGGGGTACTGTTGGGAATGCCAGTTGCATTGCAGATTGCATTGCAGTTTGCACAGATTCTAGAGTCTTTTGTTGTGGGGCGATTTGCAAGTAACAACAAAAGTGAGCTTTAAAAGATTTGTAAATGCAGAATGCCCAGCTTCCAGAACCCAAAGAAGTCCTAGAAGATGTTAGGCTTGTTAAAATGTTGTGGATGCTGAGAGAGATGATAACTCTTTGGGCCGTGTCAGAGATGGAGTGGCCTTCAGTTTACCAAAAAATTCTTAGGGATTTAGCCGAGGCTTCAGGGTCTTGCAGTGGTGGGGGAGAGGACACACTGATCTGCTAGAATTGAATCAAGACACAGGATTTGGGGCAGCTGGGTGGCTCAGTTGGTTAAGCATCTGCCTTTGGCTCAGATCATGACCCAAGGGTCCTGGGATGAGCCCCACATAGGGCTTCCTGCCTAGCAGAGAGACTGCTTCTCCCTCTCCCTCTGCTGCTCCCCCAGCTTGTGATAAATAATAAATATTTTTTTTTAAGACATAAATAAAATTTGTTTTAAAAGACAGGATTCAGTTTGACACACATGGATAAGTCTGAGCCAAGACCTATGACCCAGGACCAATTTAAGGAGAGCCCCAATCCCACATTCCTGTCTAAAATGCCAATTATCTAAACTTCCAACTCAGATCAGTTAAATCGATAACAGTGACTCCCAAGTTGGGCTGCACTTGGCTTGAGGGCAGGGAAAGGACACTAATTTGGGGTTTTTATGATGGGTAGAAGGTGGGACTGGGCTGGGGTTTCTGTATAGAGTTTGAACTTCCCACCTGCACCAAGGGAGAGAGCACCTGGGCTTTCTCATCAGAGTGAGGGAGAGGCAAATGTCAAAAAATGGATTCAGAGGACTTATTACAATGAGAGTACTCCCCAAATGGATCTGCAGATTAAACACCATCCCTATTAAAAACCCACCTGACTTTCTTCAGAAATTGATAGGCGAATCCCAAAATTGGTATGAAAATGCAAAGGATCCAGAATAGCCAAAATAATCTTGAAAAGAAAGAACAAATTTGAAGTTTCTTGATTTCAAAACAGACTACAAAGCTATACTAACAAGACTGTGTGGTCCTGGCTTAGGGAAAGACGTATGGATTAATGGAATAGTTTCAGAATCCTGAAATAAATCTATACAGTTATGGTCAATTGATTTTTTGGGGAAAAAAAGTGCTAAGACCAGTCAGTGGGGAAAGAAGAGTCTTTTCAGCAAATCCTGCTGGGTATGCACATGCAAAAAAAAAAAAATGAAGCTGGATTTCTACCTCACCATATATAGACATTAACTCAGTAGATCAAAGACCTAAATTTAAGTGCTAAAACTATAAACTCACAGAAGAAAACATAGCTATAAATATTTGTGACCTTGGATTAGCTCGTGATTTCTTAGATATGACACCCAAAACACAAGCAACCCAAAGAAACATTGATAAATTGAACTTCACCACAAGTAAACCTTTTCTGCTTCAAAGAAGACTGTTAAGTGAAAAGTCTGTCAGAGAATAAGAGAAAATACTTGGAATTGTATATCTGATAAGAAACTTGTATCCGGAATATGTAAAGAACTCTTAACCACTCAATAACAAAAGTGGACAAATAATCCAATATAAAAATGAACAAAAGATTTGCATAGATCTTGCTCCAAAGGAGATATACAAATGACCAACAGCACATGCAAAAGTACTTGGTATCATCAGTCATCAGGGAAATGCAAATTAAAGCCACAAAGAGATACCACTTCATATCCACTGGAGACAGTTCAGTTGTAATTTAAAAATAAGTAAATAAATAACATGTTGGTGAAAATGTGGAGAAATTGGAACCCTTATACATTGCTGGTGGGAAAATGGTGCAGCCACCTTCGGAAAGCATTTTGTCAGTTCCTCAAAAAATTGTAAATAGAGTTACCATATGACCCAGCAGTTCTACTCCTAAGTATATACCCGAGAGAACTGATAGCACATACCCACGCAAAACTTACACACAAATATTCACAGCAGTGTTATTCACAATAGTGCGAAAGTAGAAACCACCCAAATGCCTATCAGCGGATGAATAGATTTAAAAAGTTGTGATATATCCATACAGTGGAATATTATTCTGCAATAAAAAGGAATGAAATACTGATAGGTACTATAACATGGGTAGACCTTGAAAACAATATGCCGAGTAAAAGAAGCCAGGCACAAAGGACCACATATTGTACGATTCGTTTATATAAAATGTCCAGAACAGGCAAATCTATAGAGACAGAAAGTAGATTAGCGGTTGACGTGGGCTGAGGGTGGGTGTGGGGTTAGAGGGAAGTGGGGAGTGACTGCTCATGGGTATGGAGTTTCTTTCTAGGGTGATAAAAATGTCCTCAAACGAGTTGTGATGGTTGCAAAAGTCTGAATATTTTAAAAACTACTGAATTGTACGCTTTAAAATTATGGGTTAATTTTGTGGCATGCAAATTATATCTCAATTTTAAAAAGAAAAAAGTGCGGTTTTGAACCTGGGCAGGTGATAGATGCCATTTCCTGAGATGGGGAGATGGGGGAGGGCAAAATGCAGGTTTGAGCAGGAAGAGAATCAAGAGTTCTGTTTTGAACATAGATCTAACATGCCTACAACACATTTTTGTGGAGCT